ACATCATCCATGGTATAGAAAACCTATCTACATCCATGGTATAGAAAACCCATCTACATCCCGTAGCATTGTGGTAATATTATTTAATGGTCTAACTTCACTGAAAATGCAATTCTGGGTCACGGTGTCTCAACATAGCAATTCGTTACACAAACGTGACATAACTTGTCTTATAACGCCTGTAAGCACATACATATGTCGTTGCGTTGGGTTTGATCCCCAGTACGTTCACCTACGTCACACTGCAACTGAAACTCAGTCTGTTGCAATGTGAAATTTAAGCAGTCGTCCTTTCTTTAACCACAATTAGTGCATACGCAGTGCCACGCATGCGTTCTGTAGAATAGATCGCATACCAGAACATGTACGTGAAGTCACGTTGTGTACGGTGATAGTAGCGTTGGTGGTGGCGACGGCGGAGGAGCAGGATTTGAGGATGAATAATGATGATCGGTGTGGGGTACGTCAAATATCAAATCCCACGTCCTATCCACATACTTTCTTATATGATACAAGCTTGTTTCAGGGGACGTAATTCAACGGATATCCGTGCGCGTATTTGTAATCACTTGTAATGTCCAGTTCAATGGCACGAAAACCAAACATCCATAGACTGCCACATCAGTGTAGAAAATGAGCTGCGGCAGCTGAGAATCCTCAATCCGCATGGTTACCTTCGGTATGGCAAGTACACTCGACCGGCATCAACTATGACGATACTGCAGCGAAATGTAACAACCAACTGTTTGAATGAACCCGTGAAAGGCGAGATTCGACAGCCTAGATTCTGAGCAAATACGATGTATTTGGTGATATGTAATTTACCTGAGTCTGCCGGTACAGTGTCCGGGTGGTAACAGTTCCTCCATAAGCCGTTGTGACTTTCAAGGTAGGTCCTCCCAGTTGTGTTGGTGTGAGTAACAGTGGTCCAGTAATCAGTCCCCGAACCGACTCCCAGAAACAGAAACGCCGCGGTGCCAAGAACAGCTAAAACTATGAGGTATTTAGTATACGGGTGCCAGTCTTTCGATGACATCGCGGATACCGTAACGCAACCCCTTCGTTATAACCACAGGGATTCGCACAAACCGTGATACTCTCGCTGTTTCGTAGTGAAATGATTAATCGGTTTTCGCCGGGCATTCTGGGAAATAATTTACATAACAACACTGGTGCGTAGCACATACAGCTGCCATGCGCACACTGAGTGAAAGTGAACCGAGGTCAACAGAGGTTATGTATAGGTGTGCTCCATTGTTGCTGCGTATTTCTGCATAGTCGACGCATAGACGAGTTGGTTTTCTTTTTATCGGTTGATTGTTCCTCGTCAACCTTTGGAGCAGATTCCCGGATGTAGCACAAAGGGTAATTCTACACTCCGTTATACAACCAGGACTAAAGGGTTGGTCATTAGAAACTCTGGATCGTCGATGGCAAAACAAAAACTATGCATCTTTTTAAAATCTTCCACTGCCAACACCGCAGAATTTCCATTAGGAAAGAGTTTATTTTGTTCAACCCCTAATCTTTACCCAAGCCCCCCTCCCGCACAATTCAATTGCAATTACATTCATTATGAGGGGCATATACAATTAAATTGGAGAGCGCTGGAGGGTAGGGATGGGTTTACTGTCATAATAAGTGGTGAAAGGGGTTTAAAAAAGGAACTCTTTCCATCCATGGTTCGAATAAATTGATGTTTTTTTAAAGCTTGAATAGCTTTTTCTTAGTTTTTTTAAAAGTATTTTTTTTTTTGTAGTTCAATGTTCAAATATGTCACGTGGTCAAGGGCTGTTCAACAAAAATTATAAAATGAACAGTGTAATAACTATATTTCCAGTTACATTGTGAATAGAACATGAGTAAAACATTACTATTCATCTAGTTGTTTTTCATATCGATTAATTACAATATAGTTGATTTGTGTTATGTTAATGTCCATAATAAAGGTTACGATGTCCACATTTCACATATAGAAATCAATTTAACACTGTTATTAGAAATACTTTCTAGTTGTTGTTTTCTTTTTAACAAATATGTAATCGGAAAATGTCTCCCTTTCCTTTGAAACATATTTTACGTTGAATCACCACAGTCGTCGTTCACATTTCTAAAAAGAAAATGTATTTTATATGTGTTGTACATATTCCATGTTACCCAGACCCTGGCAGGGTGTGACGACTCTGTCACTCCCAAAATTGCAAACCACGTTGAAAGTGATGCTAACAATTCATTGTTTATAATTTGCTAAAATACGCAACTGAATATAATGAGAGATTTAACATATTGACAGTCACGTGATTAACAATATATGGCATAATTATCCACGAAAATATGTATTCTCAGAATTCATATTTATAAACGTTGCAACATAGTTTGGACTTTGGGCGGTGTTTACTTTTTATATCAACCTGTGGAAGTTCAATGCAGTTCGATCAAAAATATCTTGACGCCACTTTGAAGTCGCATTGAATCAAAACAAGTCTAATTAAACAGAAGATTTAATACATATAAACAGGAATAATATTATGTAAAACGTTGAAAAAAAATCTTTAAAACCTTCCTCGCTGACATTAAATAATTGGGTGCATGCATGCCGTATGTGATAATCGTTTTACAAGAAGTATATTTTCGCACGTTGATAACAATATCGAAACATCTTATCCTCCAAGTAAAGTACGTACTAAAATAACTTGAAGTTGCCAGGATTTCTTTTTCAATAAATTCCTACCATTCATTGTTGCAGAAATGCCATACGATAGCCTTTGACCTGTAAAAGAATCGCCAATGAACTTTCATACATTAACTTTTCTTATTAACTAACAGACCGATGACCCACATTTGTTGACAATTTCTAAATATATTGTTGCACAGTGTATACATGCCAAATTTAATATAAATTTTATAACTTACAAATCGGGAATCATTCTACCTTAACTCTTGATATGATTGCTGACCACTGATGCACTCAGTTTCGGAAAGGTCAAGTTGTTGCCCGCTGTTCCCACGGTGTTATTAGTTTTTAGAAGACAATGGCTGCTCTCGCTGAAGACGATTTGATTATTTCCGTTCGTATATTTTAATGTATTTTACAAACTTGAAATTTTACCTGGACCGCGGGATGAATTAAATTATTACACCATTGCTATTTATCGCGCCCTCTTTTGGCAGAACGTTACTGTGACGTCAAAATGAAGATGAAGGCAATGTCGTTGAATAGGAAACTGGATTTGGATGTATAGTCTTTCGCAATACGATCTTCTTTAATGTACGACTACAATACGAAACGATATCGACGCTTAAAGTGTTCACGTCCTGGAAGTCATTCGTTACTAGAGAGCGCAGTTCATGAAAAAAAGTATGGACATCATTTTATCTGATTTATAATTTTCTCGAAAAAAAATAAAACGTATTGTCTTCAAACTAGATAAATAAAGTTGAATAATCGTAATTTGTCCTCCATAACATAGTATGGATTATATAATCCCATTTTAAAGACATCTAGGCAACTTTTGAAGTGAACTTTGAAGTTATGAAAGTCAATTAATTTACTTAATCGTATATAATCCAGTATTTGAGTTTTTAATTGTTGTTTTTTTGGTCATCTTTACGGCTAATATGTTTGGATATTATAACTCATTCAATTGTCAGCCAAGGCACACATGATATTGGCAACATCTGGACATGGTCTATCTGTATTTCAATCCGTGTGCTATCATTGCTAGCATAGATATACGTAACTTAATTATGATCATTTGCACAAAGTCATGAGTAGTAAACAAAACAAAAAATAAGTGTAAAATGTTTAAAATCACTGATAAATATAATTTAATGTTTTCATATTGGGGCTCTGGCTTATATACTAATGTTGTTCTTTTCACCCACAATCAGTATACATGTTGTTATCCATAATCAGGGCAACCATTCTCAACGCAAAATTTGATAAACAGCCTTAGTATAAAATAAGAGAAGAGTTTTTTTATTGGAAATATGTCATACCACAGATTTCTGTTATTGATTGATAACATTCCACTCCTTTGAAAATGTAAAATACAGGAAAAATAGTACAGGGGAAAGGTTTACTAAAGGATGGTTCTCTTAAAGAGCACCAAAGCAAACTCCTTTGGAATATAGGCAACATGCAACTGCCTACTCCACGCTCAAGCTCTCGGTAACGTGATATAATTCAAAGAAGTCAGATAAATTGTACGTATGTACCTAACCTACCATATATTGGTGATAGAAATACAGGAACATTCACATCACACCACAGAACTATGTGGTCGAATGAATGGCTAAACTGACACATGTATATTGGTAGAATAATTACCCATTATTATATTTAATGAGCGTCGGCAAGCGGTATTTTCGTAAGCTGAAATCAATTGTTTTTATTTCCGTAATAATGTAATTTAAATAAATAAAAAAATGTAAATTCGTAGACATGGGCAAGGTGTAAAATGTAATCAGTTATTTTATTCGTTCGTAATTTGTACAAAGATCGTTTTTTGTAAGCGTGTGAAGCATTTTCCACATTAAATGTCGTAATTCGTATGCAATTTCCAATTTTGATTCTTAAACTCAAATTATGAAAAATATTATAAAAATATAAAATGTAAATAGGAATTTGCTTTATCTGTAAAGTGTAAACCCCAATTTTTTACTGTAAATGGAACTTTCATTTTATTTCCTGTAAACACGTAAAATGCTGTTTTTTCCCTATAACATGTACCAGATACCCCTTTGACCCCCTCTTTAATGTCCACGTGAGTACAATGTGGTAAACTGCTAATGAAGTCGGAATGAATATTCATCAAAACAAAACCATTGACAGTTTCAATGCTGAGAGTACATAAATAACAAAACGATCGAGAAATATCAAAATAATTTACTTGTGAACATGTAGATGTGCTTTTAAACATGAATTCAATAATAGTGATCACGCAAAAAAGATAAAACGGTCCACATATATCGTCTAGGTACGACGATAGTTAATAAACATTCGATTCAAGTTGACACATCTTAACAAGCACCACTGGATTACTGCCCTCTATTGATGACTTATGTCTCATCCACCGTTTACTACAGATGGCGCTGTTAGCTACACCTACATGGTAACTGGAAATTTGTTGACGCAAACCTCGTTCACTAAATTCACACTGGCCAATCAGAATGTAACATGGTAACGAGTCGTTGATCGCTGTGACTTCTGACGAATCACATATGTTGGTATGCAAATCAGTGACGACAACTTGCATCACATGAGATAACCAAAGGGGTTTCTTCACTTGAGGGTCGGCAAAGGATTATTTTCGTAATCTGTAATCAATTGTTTTTATTTTCGTAATAATGGTATTTAAATAAATAAAAAACGTAAATTCGTAGACATGGGCGAGTTGTAAAATGTAATTAGCTATTTTATTCGTCCGTAATTTGTACAAAGATCTTATTTTTGTGTAAATCAAAAGCATTTTCCAAATTAAATGTCGTAATTCGTACGCAATTTTCAATTTTGATTCTTAAACACAAATTATCAAGTATATTATAAAAATGTAATTAGGAATTTGCTTTGTTTGTAAAGTGTAAAAACCTATTTTTTACTGTAAATGGAACTTTCAATTTGATATCCAGACCTGTAAAAAACGTAAAATGCATTTTTTTATTTCCTGTAACCTGTACTAGCTTTCCCCTTGCTCCCTTCTCACTGAACATTGCGTAGTTCCTAGACACATTCTTTCATTGCCTCGAAAAGTTTTTTTTTTTAAATTGAACGGGTCTTAATTTATTTTTTCCAATAGATTCCCATGTATTAACTACCGTGACGAAATCTACATACAGTAGTATCACGGGCGCGGAGGAGAACAGACACGAAAGACAGCGACAGAAGCGACTGAGGAGTAAAGCATCTACCAGCTCACTCGACAACTCAGTTTTCATCTGCGGGGACTGTGACAGTGACTATCACTCGAGGATCGGGCTCTACAGTACAGCCACCACAGACGCTGCTCAAGTTCAACCATATCATGGCGCAACCCATCGTCTTCCTAGACGGACGGAGGCCGGCGATAGGAATATCACGTTCATCTATCGGTGATCTACACCCCAGTATTTCCCA